CTGGAGTTGTAAGAAACTTCTACAAAACTGATATTTTTTTTGTAATTGAACCTTAATTGAGTGTGTGTACTGTTCTGAGCTGACTTACGTTACATATGTGTGTGTGTGTGTCTGTACTGTGTGAGCTGACTTAAGAATGAAACGAAAAGGTGTTTCTTGAATCACTTTGTTTCAGACTAGAGAACATATGGTTAAATGTTGCAAGTTCTTAGACACAGTTCATCACAAGAAACCTTTTAATTGATGTGCAGGTGGCCGGCCACAGTCACACTCCACGCTATTATTTCAGGAAGAGGTTTAGGTTAGCAAGTATAGAGTCCCTTCCCAAAGATTTATTATTGGACATCATTGCTCGTCTCCCACCTCAAGATATCCGGGTCCCGGTAGGGCTCGTTTGCCGCAAGTGGTACCATTTGACCCATAGCCCTGACTTGATACAAACGCAAATCTTCCGTGCAACTTCCGGGCTCCTCTTACACTATACGTTTTTACGCAAGGAATTGATTTTTATCTCGATGCGGCAGGGCCGGGTCGAGAAATCCATGTGTCGCTACGAACTTGGTCATTTAATCTGGGCCAGCTGTAATGGCCTGCTTTTGGGATTCTTAAATGGAGATCCTTATTCTGTGCGCATCTTGAATCCCGCAACCAAGCAATGCTTCACCCTGCCTCCATTTTCCAAGATACGTTATGCATCTCTTCTTCCTGCTATGGCGTATGCGTCGGCCTCCATGAAGTATAAAGTGGTTGTACGCGATTTCGTGGATGGAAGCAATGGTGTAAGGAATCTTGAATGTCTTATATTAACTATTGGTGTCGATACCACCTGGAGGCATGTCCACACCAAACACTTGTCTCTTAATAGGAACCAACTTTCATGTGCCTTTAAGCCGTTGATCACTGATGGTTTTGTGCATTGGGTCTGGGATTCGTGCACCTCTGTTTTCTCTCTCGATGTGGAGACTGAAATTATTTCCAACTCAGAGGTCCCCCTTCCTCGAGTTCACAGAAACAAGAGACGCTTTTATCTGTCAACAGGAAGGTATCTATCTTTATTGGTCGCCCTTGGGAATTTATCGTGGCAAGTTTGGCAGATGAAACCAGAAACTGAGGAGTGGCTTAAGGTGTTTAACATTGATCTGGAAGCTGAAAACTGGAGGCTCGATGGATTTTTCAGAGATTGTGAGGTTTGGCTCAAACCGGTTGGTTGGCTAAATTACCCAGATGTTCTCGTCTTTGCTCCTCCCAATACAAGTTGCGATTGCATTTTGTACAAAGTTTGTACACGTGAGGTCCACTCTGTAGAGTTACCGTATCCCGCTCGACATTAGCTTATTATAAACCATAATAATTGTATGGCCTCCATCCCCGGAGGCTAAACATTGAGCTTATTTTGCTGTATTTCTTAATCGCAATATCTCTCGACTACATGACTATGGCTTTCTGTGCCTAACATCGATGATTTGTTTAGCTTTGGTTTGTTCAACTTTGGCCAATGCATCTAATAAAATATGAAAACTGTTAGACTCAATATCATGTTTAATTTATTGGCGTTGCCTTCACGTTTACGTTTGTTTCCTGTCGTCCAAGTATAGTTTTGTCTCTATGATTGTCCTAATGAATTTTATTTGTACCTATCCCATGAGAACGTACTTGATTAAGCTACCATCAATTTGCCTGTGTTGTTTTAAAGTTCTGTTTTACAATTTTTTGTGCTCTTTTTTTTTCGAAACGATAGATTTTATAACTTAAAAAATTTACATCCCGGGATAGGAAGCCCGATAACAATCCAACAACAAGAACTGAGAGTATCACCTATCCTAGGAGCACTAGAATCCTACCAAGAAAAGAAAGCATAGGGAACAACTCCCAGCAAAGACTAAGCAATGAACCCGAAGAGTTGTTATCCTATACTTTGCTGCCAAAGAGACAGGCTGAAGAAAAAGCTAGCAACCATTGCCCTAAGTGGTCTAGTTGAAGCTGCCGTACAAAAAGAAATAAAACAGTTATACACCAACTACCAGAATACAAAGAAAAAAGACAAAAAAAACTACCAGCACACCAAGCAAGAAAACTAAAAGCCCAAAGAGACACCAGCTACCAGGTATCAACATTATCAAACTAGCAGCATCAGCCATTCTTCGTAATCAAATCCCAAGCAAAAAGCAACCCAACCAAATTCCATCGTGAACCAAAGCTTCAACCAACCAGACCAAACAACACAACAAGTAACACCTTTAAGATTCAGAATCTGCCACAGAGAAGAGAGAGAGTCGAAGATTGAATCAGGAACAAACAAACAAAGGATCCTTAGGGAGAATGCGGTGAACCGAACTTCAACCAGTTATTAAGAGCTGCTTGGACAATGAATGATTCAGGTTTCTTGGCTTGTTTAAAGATCCAATGATTCCTTGATTTCCAAATTTCCCATAGAAGATAGACAGTGAGTTGTAAACGAGCATTTGAGGTTTGAGAATCATCTAAAGAGCAGATTTGAGTCCACCAGAATTCTGCTAGGGACTTCTCTATGTTGGATTTAGTTGCTTTGGGGATCAGAAAATAGGACATAGTGTGTAAATGGGCAAAGCATTCAAAGCAGAGTTAAGAAGAAGCACCTCCTTTCCTGCAGAAGACAAAAACTTGATTTTCCATTAATTGTCTTCTAAAGTTTATTATTATACCACTTTATTATTAAAAGGAGTTCTATATTAATCACTTTTCGAAGTGTATTGTAAAGTTTATTATCATATAGTTTTATTATTTAAGTTTAATCAATGTTTGTGGTGTATAAATGAGTAGTGTTTGTTCACTTTTTACTCGTATAATTTTGTGAAATAATCTATGGATACCAAGTGTTTGTTTACAATTTTTTTTTTTTAATTCATACTCAATTCTAACTCAGTTTTAACTCAAAATCACTATTCTCAATATAATTAAATAATACTAAACAATCATTAATACACATCATATCAATTTTAATTCACTATTCATCCAGTTACATAATTAACTAACCATCACTTCACATAATTTTTCTCATGCTTTTACATTAAATCAACTTTAATTATTTTCTTCTAAATATTATTTTAATATAAAATAAAATTCCCACAAACAACTAAGCATACCAATTTTTTTTTTTAAATTAACTCTAGTTTTGAACGAGCAGATGGTCTGAAAAGTCTACAATCTTGATATAATAGAATAATAAGATTATCTTGAATCTCATTTCACAAATCAACCATAATCTTAGCAAATAGCATGCTATATAAGTCTCTAATTATTTGTACTCTAATTATTTGTACATCCTATGCAAAAATCAAACAAATGACCCAAATCTCATTTGAAAAAGAAATTCACTCCAAGCCTTTCAACTTGTACCATAACTCATAAACACATCCTCCAAAATCTTGGGGATAGGACTGAAATCAAATTGTAGACTTTTCAAACCATATCCACCCATTCAAAACTAAATTTTGGAAGGGCAAAATGGACAAATCATCCAAATGTTGTTGCATATTTGAGCCAAATTCGTTTTGAACTACAAAACCGCATAAACAGAGCTCTCTCTCTCTCTCTCTCTCTCTCTCTCTCTCTCTCTCTCTCTCTCTCGTTCGCCGTCGAGCTTTCGCCGCCTTCCACCGTCAAGGCACGAGCTTTCTCATGGCGTTGCAGATTACATAGACAGTCTTGATCTTCTTGCCTGTTTTGATGTCGACCAATTTTGAGCTGAAACTGTAGGGCGCGCAGAAATCG